GGATTGAATATTTTTTTAGAAGCATTTTCAGTCTGGATTTAGGGCAATTTTAAAACTTTTAACTTAATTTTAATAAATAAATATACATAGATTTGAAATGTGTACAATTTTCATAAGAAAGGATATAAAGACAAATAATTGTTGAACCATTTAGTACATTTTAGTATATTCAAATTAGCAAGGAATATGCAAGATATGCATGGTAAAATACATTTTAAAGCAAATTCATTATTCGTTAATATCCAATATAGGTAGGTATCTAAAGAAATATAGAATTTATGAAAGTAAGCAGTTTAATAAATGCCTAATAAAAACATACTTCACAATTTAAACTTAGTGAACATTGTTCGTACAAGAGGTGCAATCGAATAATAAATTATATGTATATTTACTATTTACTATTTCGCTATGCTATTTATTACATTATTAAATGAGACTAATGTTTAAACAAATTACTTAAAAAAGTATTCATATGCTCAAATTGGTTAAAAATAGTTGGTTTTGTGCAAATAACCTTGTTAAATATAATTACAGTCCTTTAAAAAGTTGTTAAAAAGTTATATCACTTACTATTTGTTTAAAACACTCGCATACTTTTATTTTCAACTAGTGTATACTCTCAATACAATATAATTATGACTGCCATTTTCCTTGCAAGAGGTTTAAATGAGTTCAATCGTCTTCTAAAGGTATTGGTATACCATATTAATAATGTGACCAATGTTTATCAACAAGTGTATACTCTCAATACAATATAATTATGACTGCCATTTTACTTGCAGAACTTTGGTCCACGCCAGAGGTTCAATCGTCTTCTAAAGGTATTGGTATACACTATTAATTAATGCGAAAAATGTTTAAACAAATTAGTAGAAAATAACTATTAGGCTTGTATGAATAACCTTGTAAAATATTACTACATTAAAGTTTTAAAGTCAAAAAGTTATACATTTTATAATTTTATTAACACAAACCAACAAAAACCCATACATGCAAATATTCTTTAAGTAAATTATTGAATTCTATGAAATTAGGTATTACTCATAAGTCATGAATCAGGAATTAAAGTAAAATAATGTTAAATACATTAGCGAAATAGCAAATCTAGATATAAGTATCTAAAATATTCTGATTTGTTCCACTTTTCATTATGATATCATTATGGAAAATATGATTTAATAAAAACAATGATGTCACATTAGAAAACTTAGGAAATTAAGAATACACTTAGATTTGTGATAAAAAGGCTAATTTGAAATTTGAAATCCTAGATATGTATAAATGAACAATGACTTTAGATAAAGATATTTAGGTGCTGAAATAATTTGAATTGTTCCATTAAAGTAAAAATATATCATCAGACACAACAACGGCACAATATAAATAATATTATTTAGTAAAAAAAATGTTGTCATGTTTGAAATCTTAGGAACCATGACTTTTAGAGAAATTAAATTTTGCTTTTTCATAATAATTTACCATACATAGAATTGCAATGAAAAAGCTAATTTGAAATTTGAAATCCTAGATAGGTACAATAATGAATAATGACTTTTAGATAAATTGAAGAATAATTTTATTGAGAATAATGACGACTATCAAATTTAAAAATGTCTTATTCAAAATGGTTTAACTTGTCTACATTTCAAGAATTAAAAAAATGTTTTAATTCTTAGAATTAATTCTTAAAAAAGTAAACTTTTTTCTTATACTGTTTGAAGAAAATGGATCATATCCAATAAAACAATCAATGGGCTAAATAAAAATTAAGTTAAGTCATGAGTCAGGAATTGAAGTAAAATAATATTAAATACATTAGGATTATATAGATATTTAGGTACTGAAATATACTGAATTGTGACACTTAATATAACACTGTATATGGTATAATGTATTGATAATAGATAAGTAAATGTATTAACATTACCACTCAGAAAATAAAACTGGATTAAGCATTCTATATTGTTATTCTTAGATACCTATCTTGCGTACGTAAATTGTTATACTAACATAATTAAATACGACTTTGAAGGCATTTACAAATTGATAAATAATCAAACTATACATATCCTCAAATTTTAACTAATGATGATGATGAATACAAATATAATTTTTCTATGATACAAACAAGTACCTTCTTAGAGTCTTCTGATGTCAGTTTAAAATAAATGCAAACATTTCCAGACGATAACAACCAGTTGACGAAAATTCAAACGCACTAACTACAATTACTTAAAAATATCAACCAGATTGAAATAATGAAATATTTAGATATTATGTATTTTAATTTATATTTAATTTAACTTTTAAGTTTTAAGCATTTTCGTGGTTTTAAGTGTTTTAACTGTCATATAAAAATTATAAAGTAAAAAGTGACAAGCGTTATCAATTATCATAGAGGTAGCACACGATTTATACTTTATACTTTATAGACCTAACCTTTTAGCTTGTATAGATTAGTATATCAAAGATAGGTACTATCACTGAGTAGCACTATGACAATACTACATACTATACCTAGGTATACGGATGTATATTATTATATTCATGCAAATTATTATACCTAAATGTAGGTATACATAATATTTACTTTATTAATGTATAATAAACTATAAAGCAATTATAGCTGAAATTGTTGTAGTTGTAGCATCCATAATATGTGTACAATACATTTATTTTCCCATGAAATTAAAATATAATCTATTATGGAAAATAAAAGAATGAAATGTCCTTTGTTGGCGCCTGTTGCATTCATTTATTTTCATGGATAAATATTAAATAATACTTAAATGTAGTTTGTATTTTGTTGGTATGTAGTTGGTAATTTGGTATACAGACTCTATAAACTTGTGCGTTCAAGTTTGTAAACTAAATTCTAACATCTAACCTTTAATTGTAAACATTTAACATAGTGTGTTTAGACTTCAGACTTTAGTTGACAGTTATATCACATTAACATGCATTTATATTTTAGAATCTGAAAAACTATGTAGGCATTCTAGTATCAAGTAAGTTTTATATTTTATAATAATTTATAATATTGACAACTTTCAGTTTTAACTTTAAGTATTTTTCAATTTAGAAAAGTCAGCAGTTAATTTTTCCATATCCTTGGGCATGGATAAAGGCCAGCATGATGGCATTTCGTACGCAATGGCCATAGAACGTTTTCTGTCTGTTGTACAACAGCGAACCTGTTAATTTATAGTAAATTACTCATTTAATGTATGCTTAATATTGTTTATAAAAATATCCTCTAATTAGATTACCACGCCTCCTTTGGTCCAATACGCATATCTATATTTCGCCTTTTTTATAATAGATGTGTCTTCTTCGGTTATAGGTTTGACCAAATTCACCAATCCTTTGAAGTCAGAATGCATAGGACACCACCATTCCGTGCACTATAGTTAAATATTATTTAAGAGTAAGTATGTTCTTTAAATAATAAAATATTACTTAGGTAGGTACTTATTTAATTTTTGATTTTTTTTTCTTTAAACAGGTTTGCTGGCTTTGTGTTATTAACTATTTAATAAATGTGCACAATTTACCTTTACCACCAAATCTATACATTCATTATTAAATGTTTTGACTGCCGATTGTTGAGGTTGTTGAGGTTGAAGTTGGCCGCAAGTTGGAGTGTCTTTGTTCCGGCTTGTACATGATGGTTCTTTGGTAATCTTGTTAGTAGAATTAGAGGGTTGAAGCTGCCCTATAATATTGTTCTCCAATTTAGCCAATTTTTTATCCAAAAGCTCCTCAATATGATTTATTGTGACCATTTTTTCTATGTCCTTTTTCTGTAATTTTTGTTTTAGTATGTATTATTTTAAGTATTTTAGTTTCAGTTATTAGTATTAGTAGATGTAGATTAGCTGTTAAATTTATCTTACCAATCCCACAACTTTTTTTTTCAAATGTTCGTTTTCCATATGCATGGCATCATATCTTTGTTTTAAGGCCGTATGTTTTGCCTTCAAATCATCCTGTAGTAATTAAATATTTAATTTCATAGTTAACGATAGTTTTAATAATTGCAATGTTACTTATTAGATATGTATAAAGAAAGCAAGTTTTGATAAACTGTAGAAACATTTCATAATAGGTGTATTAAGGCCCACACATGCTGTGGTAGCAGCAGTCGCGATATAATGCAGTTAGACATATTTACTGCTGCTGCTCCAATGTGTGTTAGCCTTAAGCAAACTATTAAAATCTGAATTATATGTGTACCAATTTTAATGAAGAATCGCCAATCTCTTCCTTAAGTTTTTCATTCAGCTCATATACTTCACTTAAGTCGGAGTGTAATATATCATTTTGAACTTTAAACTCATGTGCTACCTGTGATCAAAACAATTATTAACCAGGTATTATAACATTGAAAATTTTTAAAAAAAATAGCAGAGTAGAAATACTTTACCTGGGTTTTTGATTCCAATGACTCGTATAACAAAGTATAGCCATGTTTATAAAATTCTAGTTCTGATATATTATCGTTGTGTGTATCTATTGATAAATAATCATCATACGTTTTGGGATATTTATCCATTTTTATTTAAAATTTAAACTGTTAAATATTGAACTAAGTAATGTAAAAGAACAAAATTTAATTTAATATGTTTATACTTTAAAATAAAATGCACAATATATTATGTTGTAAAGTAGACTAGATACTGTCTAGACCATTGTATTAGATGCATAAGATAATGTTGTAAAATATATCATTTTTATTTTTTACTTATATTTAGGGAAAACCTTAACTTTATCTAATCACAAATGTTAACATTTGTTCTCTGTACAATAACACATGTATAGCTGTGTATTAGCTGTATACCATGTATAGCTGTATATTCATATTGTCTTCAATAAAATATATATTTTAATTTGTTATTCATTTTCTTGTTTATTATTGTACACAACTTAATTTTGAAAGTTTGTGTATAATTTATTTAAATTATACCATGCCGTTATTTACCTCTGAAGAAAAAGTCGACATGATTTTTGTATACCATGAGTGTAACAATAATAGTCGAAAATCACTGGAGTTATATAGAGAAAGATTTCCTACTAGAAATCAACCTTCCCGAATGATTTTCTCACGTTTAGTAAACTGCTTAAAGAAAACTGGTCATTTTCCTGACGGAAAACACCAGTCGCACATGAGAAATGTGACCCATATTGCGGCAGAAGAAAATGTTATTACATATTTTATAGCATTTCCGAATACATCTTTATCCAAAGCATCTAAAGATCTTGGTATACCGAAAACATCAGTACACAGAATTCTAAAAAGGCAAAATATGTTTCCTTATAAAATTCATATAGTTCAACATCTTCGTGCTACTGATTATGATAAACGTATGAATTTCATTGCTTGGTTTAAGGTAAGCAATCATGTGAAATAAACTATAACTTATAATTATTAGAGACCAGATTTATATTATCTTAAAACACCTAATATATGATGCAAATATTCTCTAAAAAACCTTCAAAGAATAGTATGTCCCCTGTTAAGACATTGTATTTTTTGTTGAATGGTTCATATTAAAATGATAAAAAAAATTGTAAATGTTCAAATAAGAAATATGCTTATAACTTTTTTCTACTAACTCAGAATTGAACAAATCGTCTACATTTTTTACTCTCATAAGACTGCATTGAGCCAGTAACGATATGTAAAAACATATAAATCTTTACTAGGTCTTTACTTATAATAAAAAAAATAAAAAAATTTTCACTAAATTTTTATTGTAAAACAACATTCATAAAATGTAGTTTTGTTTTTATACATTGCTACATCGATAGTTAATTATTGAACAATAATAATGTATTTTAACAGGTTATGATGGAAGATGATCCTTCACTTATAAATAAAATATTATGGACCGATGAATGTAAGTTCCAAAATAATGGCATATTGAACCGTCAAAATTCTCGGTATTGGAGTGAAAAAAATCCTTGTTGGATGAGAGAAAGTAAATTTCAAGTCATGTGGAGTATAAATGTGTGGTGTGGAATTATAGGTGATACTTTGGTAGGCCCATATTTTTTTGAAGGTATGATTTTTCTATACATACATATAGAACATTTATTAAACAGCCACAACTTTAAAAAAATAATAAACATAACATTTATATTATTTATTTAGGTATATTAACCGGGGAAAAATATTTACACTTTTTACAAAATATTTTGCCCATATTATTGGAAGATGTGCCTCTTGACGTACGGACTGATATGTACTTCCAACAAGATGGTTGCCCAGCTCATAATGCTAAGATTGTAAAAGCATTCTTAAACGACACATTTGGTGAAAAATGGATTGGAACAGTTGGCCCAATTCCATGGCCTCCAAGGTCTCCAGATTTAACATGTCCAGACTTTTTCTTATAGGGTTATCTTAAAGATAAAGTGTATGCAACTGAATGTTTAGACATCAATGACATGAAAGAAAAAATAAAATCTGCATGTTTTGAATTGTCGAAAGAAACATTAAAAAATTCCACTGGAAGGAAGTTAATGGAACGTTTCGAAAACTGTATGCAAGAAGCTGGACATCAATTTGAACACCTAATGCAATAATATACAAGAAATTATTTGGTTTAGTACACAATAAATAATTTAATGAGTACATTTTATTTAATTAATCATACATAGTATTAACTTCATACATACTTCTATAATCATAATTGGAATAAAATGTTGTTGCGGTTGTGAATGTTTGGAATTTATTGTAATATGTAATCCAATATGATTGGACTGAATATAACAGCGATATTCTTTTATTCCAACAATTTCTTCAATATCCTATCTAAATGATTGAAACATAATATAAGTTTTTACAACTTTTGTAAAAAAAAGCATTTAAATTACTATAAATATGTTTTTAATTTATAAATAAAGAATAAAGATTAGATTCTTGTGCAAATTACAATTTGTTATTGTGTAATTCCAAATTTAAAATTGTATAGAAATAATTTTTACCTATGTAAATTAATTTTAAGTTTTATTTTGAACAATGAAGATGTGACGATTGACGACCATGATATACAAATACTACAATGACGGGTTTTTTTTATTAATCATAGTACAGTTCACTCCCATGATGGTTAGTTTTAACAAAATATTGTAAATTAGATTATATTTTATAGGTATGGATTTGTGTACATATTATATGTAGATACCTACTGGCTACTAAACACATATTTATGTATAGGTAATAATGTAATATGAAATAAAAACTGGGAAATTAATGTTTCCTAATTAGAAATACCACATGAATTTTGCACAATTCAGAATTTTAATTGATTTTTAGGTGTTTTGTGCACAAAAATCTGGTCTTTAGTAATAAATGTATAGAAATTGTATGCATAAATATAATAATGTATTCAAATTTACAATAATAATAACAATTCATTTATAAGTAACTCATAGAGTAGTTACTAGTTAATCTAGTTAATTACTTTAACTATAGCTATTGTCTATTTAACTATCAACTACTTACTAGACAACGATTTTCAGCTGGAAATCAAACTTCTCGGATGATTTTGATCTGGACAATTTCCAGTTTCCACTAATAAAGTAAATATTACACGTTTTTCAGTTGTTACTCATCAAATTAATACCCCGCCAATGATACAGTAAAGGCGGGTTCACACTACACCGTGTCGTGTAATATAATCACGGTTACCTCAGTTACCAAACGATACCGCATAGTTGAATATATTCAACTTTTGACCGTGTGGTTACATTAAGTATGAACCCGGCTTTATCTGCACATAAATGTAACCACACGGTCAAAAGTTGAATATATTCAACTATGCGGTATCGTTTGGTAACTGTGGTAACCGTGATTATTTTACACGACACGGTGTAGTGTGAACCCCCCTTAAACGTTTCCTGAATATGGGTATTGGGTAAACAAGTTGGTTGAAGGACTCGTTTCCTAGGTTCAGACTAGATCATAATAGGTAAACGTAAAGTAAACCTGATCAGCTGATCGAGTTTAGCTTCTATGTTGTTCTATGATAATACGGCTATTTAGTATTTTGGTACATAGACATATTATTATAAATTGTATATTATTATATTATATGATGCCTATGGTTTATGCATTTAATATTTATGTATTTTGATTGGTAAACATCAAATAATTTTAAGGTTATAAAATATTATATCATATTATATCATTGATAAAATTATATGTGATAGTTATCATATTGTAAATGATCTGAGTATCAACTATCAACTGTAGTACTTTGAACTGACTACTGTATACTGTAATAAATTGATAATTCGATACCCGGATTATTAAGGTCGTACAACGGAAGCACTTTTAGTATTATTCACTGTTGACATTTTATAAATTAACACCAATATTCAGATGTCGATAGCTCCTTCAATTATTATCACATAAATGTAAATGAACCATCAAAATTCATTAAAAATTAAACTGTGCACGAATCATATTTCAAAAATATAGGTTCCCATTTGAATTTTAAAAGCTGACCCTCAAACCTCCCCATCCTAATTAATAAAAAAAATATTTAATATCAAATTAATTTAGATTATATGATTCAAAACAGTTTTCACATGGGTCATTTTCCCCTAATCTAAATATATCATGCTGAAATCTGCTGTCACATGAAATTTGGAACACCCTGTATACTATAATAATGGGTTCTTGACGATTGTCAGTTAATTATATCCGTAACACATTTTGAACATCATACACTGAATATTAAATAACGAATTGAACAAAGTTTGAGTCATATAGATTTGGTAAATTTAACGGGTAACGAAGTACACTGGATCAACTAGTATATTATATATATACATGAATCTTTAAATGCATACTGATTAGGGAAAATTTACGTTACTAGTCACGCAGTTGCGTCATTTCAGTTTTTATTAGACTAGGTTCATTTTTCACTGCTTTTCCGACTCAACATTTTTTTCACTCAGATTCTCATACCATAGTGCCATAGTGGTAAACGGGAGGTGGGGGGAGGCGTGTGCTAAATGTGCCGACTTAAGGTTGATGTAAATACTAGACTGGGGCAAATGCCTATATATTATATACTTAATAGTATATAGTCTGTAAATAGATGCAGCGGTAGGTACAGTAAAATATAATAGTATACCAATAATTATTCGATATTATTGTTGACTTCAAAAACATTATAATTTTAATATCTAATAATAGATCAAAATATTATTATTGTATTAATGTGCCGTGGTATTTGTATGTTTAATGAAAAAAGAATCTATAGTACCTCTCCATATGATATAATGTATGTTAACCGATAATTAATAGTGATATGTCTGTATTCATTGACACGAAAAAAATGTGTCACGTGCAATGTGCTTTGTTATATAGTAGTCGTGTTTTTCTCTTTACCACAGTTGAGTAATCGATTTGTTCTCGTCACCACCCTACAACACTGGTCACTGAGATATAAGATTTACACAGGTAGGCATTATGAAAGAATATCGTGGGCATCTAATGAAGAACACATGTTTCAATTTGTTATGCAAATACCTATGTCATACCTACTACTGTGACTATTTCAAAAATTAAAGTAATGATTAATACTTTCATCGTGCGTTCTCCCAGCAGAGACTTGAACAGGAACTGCTCTTGGATATATAGTTTAAATGGGTTAAATTAAGTCTATCTAATTTTGAAATTAGATTTTTAGATTTTCATTTAACACGGTCCCTGCAGGCTACATGCATAGGTACCTAATGTTATTCTATTTTTAAAAAATAAAATTTTTTTTTAATAATTTACAAGCTTATACCTATCATAGTTGCAGCATATAGTCTTTTGTTTTTCAATGTCTCGAGCAAATCATAAACTATATTAGGTTTGTCTGGGCCAACTGCAGATAATATACTACGCATATTATTTGTTGAAGATGAAAATAATATATAATATAATGCAAAACGGATTGCACTGATGGAAATTTAAAACGAAGCATTCGCAGGTATTGTGCGATGAGATAATATAAAGTCCGGTTTTTTTCATACCGATCTCATAAATAGTTTTGCCCCATTGTAGCAATGTGCAATGGCATCGTTATTCGTTTGAATGTAAAAATATATTTATATATAAATGTATATATTATATATACACGATATACGTATATGTGGGTACGTGCAAACCTCTGTGGCGGGTGCATATTTTATGATTTATATTATTATTATTTTGACGTCTAGAATTATTTTCTATCAAAGGGCAAAGACTGAAGGTTTGATGAAAAGTACGAATATATAGTTAAGGTTGTGATTATGAAAAAAAAAATATACACATATTCCTGGTAGGTAGGTAGGTACATCCCATTTGTTTGATCTAATAATTATTATTTATTATGTTCAACAGATAGGTACTCCAATCAAACAGACAATTATAAATTAATTAATAAAAATAAATATATTATTATACTAATACTCGTAAATTCAAAATTTATAATTTTTATTTTTTTCTAATACATTTTGACATGTTTCTTCCGTACATAATATAAAAAAAATAATAATATAATATTCACGTTCTTGTCCCACATTAGAAATCCCTTTCCATCGAACATCTTACGGCACTTATAACCCTATTGACAGTGTTGGGGAGTAACTTAACTTAAGTTACAAGTTACTGTAACGAAATTACTTTTTAAGTAATTTGATGGTAATTTAATTACATTTTATTGTAAGTAATTTAGATGTAATTTAAGTTACTTTTTTGTAGTAATTTTTACTAAATTACTCGTTAATTTTTTTTGGATTAATACATTTTTTAGAACGTACCTATTGATAATATTGTGTGTAGGTAAATATTAAAACATATCATAATATAACTTATTAGTAGGTATTTTAATTTATAGGTAAAATTGTATGAACTGTAGGTACTATTTTTGTTATAGCTATTGAGTATTGACAATTCGACTATAAAGTGTTACTTTTAGAATGGAATTCTTATCTTTACTTTGTACTCTGTGTTGTATCGTCGCGGACGGCCACGGCGTCAGCGTCTGCGTATACAGCATTGTTGGAACTATCAATAAATATTAAATAGTAATAATAATAAAAGTGAGGGAGACTGAGTGGCCTAGCGGACTAAGGCGTTGGCAACGCGCACCGTCGCTGGTTGGAATCTCGGTAACAGGCAGACTACGGGTGCCCAATTTGAAATTCTTTCAAGCTAAAACACACGTGTTTACAAAAACCTACCGTACCCTCCCCCTCAGTTAAAAACCACCCAATTGCTAATTAATTGCTAATTAATATAAAAAAAAAAAATTAATTAATAAATAAATGTGTGGCTTGGCTGCTAGCTACCAGTCGCGCAATACGACTGAGATTAAGTTGCGCCCGCTGCTACTAGTTCCCGGATGGGTGACCACCCGGATTCGTAGTAGTAAAAACCTTGCCACACTTACACGTGTTTGCATACATACCGTAACAACACCTTACCATACCAACATTACCAACCACAGTTCATAATCCCCTACAACAGCTTATGGCCATATAGTTTCCGGGCTTAAGTTCAATAAAAATAATAATAATAATAGTGTAGCAAAATGAGT